AGTTTGAGCTCTGAGCAACAGCGGTTCGAGTCCAGCCCGAGCTGAGCAGCCGCTGAGCTGCCAACAGGTGGCAGGATGGCTCAGCTTAAAAAAAACACCAAAAAAGACAAAACAAGAAAGGCTGAAAAATTAATTAACAGTCTACTTTAAGAAGTTAAGGGGGACAAACTGAACAGAATAAACCCAAAGAAAGTTTAAGGACGGAGATAAAGATGATCAGAACTTAACAAAATGGAAACCAAAGATAAAATAGAGAAAATCAACAAAGCCAACAGTTGTCAATGAAATTGACAAATCTTTGACAAGAGTGACCAAGAAAAAATAGAAGTTACAAATAGATAGGGTTGTGGGGTGAATCACTACCGCCCCACAACCATCCTCCTCCCTTCACATACCACACACATCAGGCCCAGACAAATTTAGAGTTTCTGATCTAACAGATTTACGAGTTCGAACTGAAATGCAAGAAATAGATCATTCTAATCTTATACAACAGCTACAGAATAGAAAAGGAGAAAATAGTCCCTAACTCAATTTATGACAGTAGTTTATGCAATCTTCCAAGTCAGTTTTATTCATGACCTTAGAAGCAAAAAATCCTAAATAAAATAATAACCAACAAATTACTACAGTGTAGAAAAATGGGTGATATGTCAAGATCAAATTGAGCAGTCTACTTCAGAAATGCAAGGTTAGTTCCACTTAGAAAATCTTGTCAATTATCAATCACCATTAATAGAGGAAGAAAGGCATTTAATAAAATTCTATTTTTTTAATGGTAAAAACTTTTAGCAAACTACTTGATTAATGGCATTTATGAAAGACCTAAAGCAAAAAAATCATGTTTAGTAGTCAAGTGTTAAAGTGTTTCTTGTAATTCAGAAAAGTGACAAAGATACTTGCTGTTTACCACTTCTATTCAATATCTTATTATAGGTCCTAGGGCAATAAGACAAAAAAGACCAAAAAAAAAAATGAAATTATAGGGTTTGAAAAAGAAGAAACTGTAATCATTCATAAATAATGTGACTGTTTACAAAGAATACAAAATTACAAAGTTTTATGATTAAGTGAATTTTAGCAAGGCTATTAGATTAAAATCAGTATATGCAAGGGAATTGCATTTCTATAGTCCAGCAATAGACTGAATATGTAAATAAGTCATAACTTCCATTTGTAATAATGAAAAATAAGGTACCTAGAAAAAATTATTTTTAAACTGAAGTGTTGGACCTTTATGGAAAAAATTATAAAATTTAATTGAGAAGGCAACAAAATTCATGTTGAAAAGCAAAGGGCCAAGAATATATAAGAAAAAGTAAATTTGGGGTTTTAACTTACACCTATCAAAACTGTAGTAATTACGGCAGTATGATATAGAAACAAGGATACACAAATAAAAATAAAAGACCAGGAACAGGTAATTGTATACACTTTAAATGATGATAGACTTCGTGTTACATGTCAGTGAGGGAGAGGATGGGGGTGTCCAAAAATGGTGCTGTGACAACTGGATATCCTGTGTGGAGGGGGAAGAAATCAGATCTGCCCCTCACATCATACCCCAAACTCAACGGTTTAAGGACTTATGTATGAATTATAAGACTTGTGAAAGGCAAAGCTTTATTAAGGAAAAAGTATAAGAGAATTTTGTCATCACCTTGGAGTAAGGAAACATTTCTTAAGTAAGACATAAACGACACAAACCATACAGGAAAAGATAAATAAATTAGGTTCTATTAAAGTGAAGAACTGTTCATCAAGAAATTAAAAAGGTAAGTCCAAACCAGAAGATATTTTCAAAACATACAAAACGACAAAAGATTACTATTTGAAATGTGCAAAGAACTCTTAAACATTGTTAAGAAAACAGCAAACATTTCAGTACAAAGAAAAGAAATACAGTATATAGATAGACATTTCGATGAAGAGGAAACAGTTCAAGGTGTTTATAAAGCAATTGGAACTCACAAAGTGATCAAAGGAAAAAGATTTAAGAATACCTATTAAGGCTATATAAGCAAGTTCAGAGAAGCTGTGCTTTATCTTTGAAGTATTACCTTTTTATTCATGTGATTAAGTATTTTTGTTTAATATACCAATGGGTATTTTTTTTCCACTGACAAGTGTATGTGAGGATCTACAGAACCCTGAATTTCCTCTGCCTCGTAAGAATATGGTCCGTGGCATAAGTCAGTAAGGCAGTGATTTTGGATTCTGTTCTTATGAAAAGGTGTTTCCAACACTTAACAAAGTAGACAGTTGGTTAATGTATTGTGAAAAGATGTTGGTTTTAATCCTGATATGGGTTGTTGGTGGTTGCTTTCGTTGTTTTATAAAGGAGGGTAATATATGAGTATCGAATTTCAGAAAACTGGATTCTGACCTTACTCGGCAACTGACTTAATTGAGTAACATTCTTCATCTTAAAATTAGATGAAAACACGTAAGTCCCTTCCAGGTATAAAATTTTCACTGATATCACTTAGATCTGTCTAGCATTTAAATAGACTTTCCATGATTCAGGTCTGCTTATCCAAGTGCCTATCAAAAATTGCTTGAAAGGATAGAAGTTGTAAAGTGCAGAATAAAGATTTTAACTTTTAAGTTATGGAGACTGTTAACTGCAGTATCTCATTTTCTTTATCATACTAGCATTTTAAAATATAAAGAGCAAATTTACAAATATGTCACGCCATCAGAGAATCAACCAGCTGAAACAACAGAAAAGGAGACGTTGAAATATAAAACATTTAATACATTTCCTGCACCCTTGAAGTCAGAGGAAACAGAAGAAATTTATCAAGATGATTACTATCCAGGCATGTTGACCTCTATTTTCTTTTATGGAAATGGAAAGAAGTTTTCATAGCATTAAGAAAAGAAATACTTTCAAAATGCAAGGTTTGGTACTTTACTAATTTCATTAGTAATAGCAATTAATAGTATCTTCAAATACATACCTTGTTTTTTAAAAGGAACGTAATGTGAATACTGATCATAATATTAAAAATAACAATAGTGGCCACCACCAAGAATAGCTGACGTTTCTGTAGCAATTTACAGTTCACATCACTCTCTCATGCACATCGTCTCATTTTTTATCCTGAGGTAAAGTCCCTGCGGGCGGGCCAGTGGTCTCGAAAGTCCCCAGTGCCTTCTGGCTGTGTTGTGACTTCCTGTGGTGCTTTTGTCCACCAGTGTCCTGGTGACTCTTCCACATACCTCCCTGTTTTTAGTCTTCCTACCTTCTCTCTGTCCCAAATCCTACCATTTCCAATATTTATTTTTTGAACCACAGCTTCCTTTTTTATCCATCTCTTTCATATCCTCACTGTTACAAAGGTTACTCTTGGGTCTCCGTCCTCGTCTTTACGTCCTCCTGGATCAGCCACTCTGTCAGCAGGAGCTTGAACTCCCATCTTCCCATTTCTTTCCTCTGCACCTGGATTGGCAAAGCTTCAGCTCTAAGCCAAGTAATTGTCACTTTTCTCTGCTGTGATCCTTGGGGCGCTGAGCCTTTTTGCAGAAAACTTGCACAATCACATCAGATGGTTCTTTTTCCTAATTCATGGGCTCCAACATCAGTGGGGCCCTCAGTGCTGCCTGGTGTCATTTTATGTCTCCTTGTATCCTGTTACAACCTCTGTTTAAACTGTCACACTTTAACTGCTAGCCCCTCTTACTTGACTATGCATCCTACTTTATAAAAAATAGAAATTTAAAATGGAGGTAATTAAATGGAAACACCTAACTTCCAGCTCCCCAGATGCACCTACAGCACATACTTGTCTCAGGGAGTAACTGCCTCCACTCCTTTGAGGTTAATCCCATCACCTCTGCTACTCAGGGTACCTCAGGACCTTGGGGTCCATCTGTTATCTTCTGTCTCATCTTCCTTCTTACCATATCACCCAGCAATTTCACTTCTTGATATTTATCCAAGGGAAACAAAAAGATAGATTCTATCCCATGTTCACTGCAACATCATTTACAAGACATTGAAACACCTGTGTATCCATCAGTGGATGAATGGATAAATAAATTCTGATACACAGTCACGTAAAAGAGGGATATCTTGCCATTTACGACGTGGATGGACCTAGAGGTCATTATGCTAAGTGAAATAAGACAGAGAAAGACAAATACCGTATGTCAAATACTCACTTATATGTGAGATTGAAAACAAAGAAACAAAACCCCCAAACTCATAGGTACAGAGAACAGGGTGGTGGTTGCCAGAGGCTGGGGGTGGGGGCAGGGGTAGGCAAAATGGGTGAAAGTCTTCGAAAGTACCAACTTCCAGTTATAAACTAAGTCATGGGGATGGAATATACAGCTTGCTGACTGTGGTGGCTACTGTGTTGTAAATTGAAAACTGCTAAGACTATAAATCTTAAAAGTTCGCATCACAAGAAAAATATTGTGACTGTGGTGATGGATGTTAACTAGACTTATTTGGGTGATCATTTTGCAATATATGCAAATATCGAATTCTTTTGTTGGATACTTGAAACTGATGTATTGTTATTGGTCAATTATATTTCAGTAAAAAAAAGGAAGGAGTGGTCTAAAAGTATCAAATAACACTGCTGATTCAAGTACAATGAGGACAGAAAATGTCCATTGGATTTACTGACTTGAAGGATGTGGTCACTTGAGTGCTGTTTCAGTTCTGAAACCTGACTGGATGGATTAGGAAGTGGAGAGTAGATGAAGAAGTAGAATCATGGTCATACGGAACTCGTCTGAGAAGGTTGTGAAGAAAGACAAGATACAGACTGCTAAGTAGGAAGAGATGGGGTCTAGGAATAGATTTTATTTAGGTGGGAGCTGCTTGGATACGCAGTAGAAAAAAGGAATGGTTAACAGTGTAGGCATGAGGGGATGGGGACTAAGGATGAGACTAGTTTTGGGTGGAAGGAGAAAGACCTTCATTACTCAGTAGGGCAGGAGGGAAGGATGGGTCCGGATCCGGGCTGATTGGCTTAGTTGGCATGGCAAGTTGAAGGAATTCCCATCTGATGCTGTTTGTTGGGTTGTCAGAAAAGTCATGACGTATTTTTTCTGTTTTTCGTTGCAAAATTGTGTCATGACTTTTCCGACAACCCAGTTTTTTCCCTGGAAAGTAGGGATTGAGATCAGTTGAAGTAGAGAGATTGGAAGGTAAAAGCTTGGAGATTTGAGGGGCACGTACAAAATCTGAAAATAGCCGTTGAAAAACCCAGAAGAGCAGGTTAACCAGGTAGACAGTAGGATTTCAGGTTTGGGTTCAGGGTCCATTTGTGGTTAGTTAAAATGAGTTTTGGAGGTTATCAGTCCACCCATTTGTGGGCCTTTCTGTAAAGCACTGGGCTGTAGGATGTAGGCACAGAGTTGGTTCATCCAGGGCTGGTGTTTTGCCATATAGGCGAGACCAAAAGGAAGGAAGGGTTTGGGATATTGGTAGGAGTGTTGTGGAAAGACATCATCCTCTCAGCTGGATAAACAGAAAGATGGGGGAAAAAAATAGAAGGATGACAGATTATAAGCAAGTAATGAGGCAATGAACTGGAGGTACTGATGAGGTAAAAAAAAAGTGATATTGGCAATATTAAGCAAGCTGGAAGGATAGAGGCCAATGACGACAAGCACTAGGATGTAATCTGGGGAGTGGTTGGTTGAAGTGGACTAGAGATGACAGGATGTCTACAAAGTGTGTGTGTGTGTGGGGGGGGGCGGGGAGCATAGTATCAGACAGGTCTTAATTCATGAGCACTTAAAGTTTCCCAGAATCGTGGCAGATTTACTATGGAGGGAGTAGGCCCTCCTTGGATCCAGGGTTCCAGATTGAGTGACCAGGCAGTTGGTGGATGTCAGTGAAGAGTGGAGAGTATATTGTGACAAAAAGCCAGAGGAGTATTTGGGGGATGGGAACAGCGCTGGGGAATTGGGGAAGGGGAACAGACAAGTTGCTGTCCTTTTGTTCTTCATTTCAGTCTAGTTGTGGAGGACGTTGCTTCACTGGCCCAAGTAGGCACCATCATTGCACTCTTCCCGGGCGAGGCAGATCAGTCGCCGGCTTCTGGACGGCCGCTCACTGCGGCTGCTGGCCGCTCACGCTGGCTACACACGGTAGCCCATGGCAACCCACTGCCACAGGGGCTGCAGCCTATGCCGTCGCCGGCGACTCACGGCAGCCCCCCACCTCCAGGTTGAGCTGTTGTTCAGCATCTTAGCTGTAGAGGGCAGTGTCACTGGCCCTCATATGTGGGATCCGAACTGGGGCCCTCTGGCGTCCCAAACCAGTTCTTAACCATCGCGCCCCTCGGCCGGCCCGAGTAGGATTTTTTTTGAGGATAAATTGTAATGATTTGGAAGTAGTAAATGGGCAGCAAGGAAGAAAACAAGCCTGCTTTCCAGTCTTTAGATGTATGGGGTGTTGAGGTACAAACAGCCACCACTTGAGACGATTGCATGTTAGTGATGTCTTCAGGAAATAAATAACGAGGGTTCAGTTGAGACAAGGAGGTGGGAAAACTCAGGATGGATGTTCAAGATAACGGAAGGTTTTCACAATGACCTCACAGAAACTTTCCACTGAAGCCCATGTTTTCTCATTGTGCTCTCCCGAACAGTTCTGTCCCCCTCTCTCTGTCTCCCTCTCTTCCTCTGTTTCCCTCTCCCCCTCTCCCCTTTTCCTCTCTCCCCTTTTCCTCTCTCCCCCTCTTCCCTCCTCCCCTCCTCCCCGTCTCCCCCTCGCCTTCTCCCTTCTCTCTGTCTCCTCTCCCCTCCTCTCTCCTCATTGGCTGTTTCATTTGTACTCATTTTGTTTTGGTTGTAATTGTGTTTTATCACCTACTTGATTGAAACTCAATGCCTTGCACTACATAAACATTTGTGAAATCAGGAGAAAAAGTAAAACTTACTTGCTTTTAAAAAACCTTATTTTCAATAATTTTCCCCATCTTTCTTTATGTTGAAAATCTACCAATCAGGTAAGTCATAAAAAGAATAAGAGAAATAGGCCCTACGTTACTTTCTGCACTTGTATCTAAACATTTTCTGGGCTCAGTTACCAAATTAAAGTTAATAAAAAGATTTTGTTAGGTATTTATTTCACTTGAGGATTCACATTTTAAAGAGTTATTGTAACAATAAAATCAGTTAACAGCTAACATTTACCTTAGGGAGCACTTAACTATGTGCTTTAAATGTATTAATTAATTGAATCTTTGTAACACCCTATGAGAGATTCTTACTGTAACAATCCTCATTTTGAAGCTGAGTAAAGTAAGACAGGCAGGTAACTTGCAAAGTAAATCACAAAACTGTGAGTGGTAAAGCCTGGAATTGAGCTTGGAACTAAGGCAGTTTGACTCAGAGCCTGTGTAGATAGATACTATTGGGTTGTCCGAAAAGTCATGATGCATTTTTGCAACGAAAAACAGAAAAAATGCATCATGACTTTACCGGCAACCCAATATAACGATCAACCATATGGCTCAGTGTGTGGAATTACCATGGCCTTACTTATAGCTCATGCTGGTTATCCAGTTAGTAATGGTTTGATTTTCAGATTACCTTCAAGAAAGTAGAACTCCACAAGAGGTGCTTGTTCCAGAACCAGTTCCCCGGAAGAAGAAAGAGAAATCAAAGGGAAAAAAGGATCAAACTCATGCTTGTCCAAAAGCTAGGAGAAATCATCTTGTGCCATATGATAGTACAGGTATGTGGCGTTACTGCCCAGCTTGTGTAGAAGACACTACACTTTCCCAAATTATTCTGTGGCTTTGGGTGCTTATGTTGGACTTGGGTTTTAGAAGAAATAGTCTTGCTGCATTTTGTGTTTGATTACTTAAATGCTTATTACATTTTAAAAATCTTTTTGAAAACTTCAATATCGATAGATTAAAAAATCTACAGAGACTGTTCAGTGACTATCTTCTTCATTAAGGACAATCTGAAGGGTATGGCCGTCGAACTAGAAATAAGATAAAGATGTATGGTTTTGTTTTATCCTTTTAGTAAAACTTTATGGTGCCATTATGTTTAATAATTTTATGTCTTTGGCTGACATGGAGTTTAAATCTGCAAATAATTTATTTGAACAGATTTCTCTCCACTAACATTTTACAGTTTGTACTTCTTTCTGTACCTGTACTTTATACCTGAAATCCTTGTTTTAAGTTTTATAGGAAAAACGAAGCTTTTCTGTTTCCCTGAAATACCATGGGCCAAAGCAGATTTATCATAAAGCCATTGAAGCTTAAACTTCAGGGCCCCTTGCTTACACAGGCTTCATTTTTTTTTTTTGTTTGAGGAGAAGCTCCTCAGAATTATAAATGCCTCAGAGAGCACGAGCCCTGGGTGGATGTGGAGGTGTTTATGCCCTTGTCTAATCCCCTCCCCTGAGCGTGGGTGGGACCTGTGACTGCTTCTAACCAATAGAATATGGCACAGGTGGTGGCTGTCACTCCTGTGATGATATTACATTATAGAGGACTCTTAGCAGACTCATTCTAGAGCCTCTCTCCTCTGCTGGCTTTGAAGAAGCATGCTGCTAAGCCTCCTACAGTCACGAGGCAATGAACTCTGCCTACAGCCTGGAAGCAGGTCCTTTCCCAGTTGAGCTTCCAAATGCGAACCCAACCCCAGCCCTCACCTTGGCTGCAGCCTATGAGACCCTCATAGGGCACCCCGTTAGCCACATCCATACTCCTGACCCACAGAAATGTGTGCTGTTTTAAACCACTACCTTTGTGATGCAATTAGAAAACTACTACAATTGATACATTGCAGCAAATGCAGTCACTGTTGCCGTGCACTGAGAATTCTTAGTGTTTTGTCACTTTGTTCTGTAGTGTTTTGAAATTGGTATCAGTGTAAGAAAGAGCAACAATTTAGGCTTAATGGCTGCCGGATAAAGAAAACCAATCTAATCCTTTAACGATTATATTTCTTTAATTTGCTCCTCATTTAGTTTCTGTAAACCCATGAAGACATAGACTGGTGAATCCTAAGTACTTAGGATTTTTTAATACTATGAAAAATTTAAATATGAAAGGTAGAATAACTTAACAGATACCCATTTACTCACTAGCTGGATTTAACAGATGTTAACATTTTATCTTCTTTTAAAACAAGTTGTAGGAGGCAGAAATCTGAAATATCCTCCAATATTCCCACTTCCTGCTGTACACACTTTGTAGAATTCCTCTCCTTGAGTGCAGACAGGACCTGTGAATATGGGGGAATATCATTCCTCTGACTATGTCATTGTATATCACAGTTATGAGATGGAATTAAGTAAGGTCCCTCATCAGTTGGCTTTGAGTTAATCAAAAGGGTTATCCTAGACATACCTGACCTAATCAGACGAGCCTTTAAAAGACTTTCAGAAACAGTAGCAGATGCCATCCTGCTGCCTTTGAAGGGACAGAATGCCATGGTGTGGAGAGGGCCACATGGTAAGGGTCTGAAGGTAGACTTCAGTAGCTGAGAACAGGACCTGGCCAGCAGTGGGACTGCAGTCGGACAGCTGGAAGGAAATGAACTCTGTCACCAACCCAGGGGAGTTTGGAGCGGTCCTTTCCTAGCAAAGCTACTGGATGTGGGCTTAGTCAGCCAACATCTCGATTTCAACCCTGTGAGACCCCGAGCAGAGGACCCAGCTAAAGTTAGCTAGACTCCTGAGCCACGGAAATTGTGAGATAATAAATTTGTGTTGTCTTACACCAAGTGTGTGGTAATTTGTTATACAGCAATAGAAAACAAATACAAAATAAAATGGTACAGGTAGCTAAAGCCACTCCCCACCTTTTCTGTTCCCTGTTCTCTTGTCTCAGTTACAATCAGCTAACAACTCGGTTGAAATTGGTGACTCTCTTCTCCATTTATGGTTTTATGTTTTTTCTATATTTCTATTTATTGTGGTAGTTAAACATTTTGTCGGCATATTCTGTAACACTCTTTCCTTCAAAAGGTGGGGCCCTGTTCCTCTCCCTTTAAGTGAGTAGACTAGACTTAGGGACTCAATTCTGACAAATAATATAGTGGAAACGATAGTTTGCAGTTCTGCAAAATAGAATATGGTGGAAGTGATGATGTGTGACTTCTAAGACTAAGTCACAAAAGGCACAGTGGCTTCTCCTGCTTTCTATTTCGGCTCACTCTTCTGGGGGGAGGCCAGCTGCCATGTGAGACGTAAGAAGCCCTGTAGAGAGGTCCATGTGGTGAAAAATGGGAGCCTCCTGCTAATAGCCATGCGAGTGAGCTATTGTGGAAAGTGACCCTTCGGCCCCAATCAAGCCCTCAGACGATTGCAGCTCTGGCCAACATTTTCAAATGCATTTCCATGTTTAAGCAATTGACTAGGCCCAGACTAGGGTAAGACAAGTGAGGTGCCTAGGGCACAAAATTTAAAGGGGAACTTACTCTTACGGTCATGCAATGCTTTATACAAGTCCTGATACTGTCTTACACAGCAGCTTGAGTCTTATTTAATCCTTAGCAAAGAAGCTGTTTGATCAGCCAGTGTTTGTGATTTCTGGAGGACCAGAACGCGTGAGCAGCTTCAAAGCATTGTTGGTTTTGCCAGCATGGCTTTTGGTATGCTGCTTCTCCCAGGAAGTTCAAGGGCTAAGAGGACAACCTATAGAGCATGGTGAACAAAAGCCAAGAAAGAATGTTTCAAGGAGAGAAGCTTAGCTGCCAAGAGATCAAGAAAGATTTGGTCTGAAAGCTGTCTATTGGATGAGTACTGTTAGGAGGAAGATTTCCATCTTAGGATCCCTTTTATCATCCTGTTGCCTCCTCCCCAGCTTAGGTCTTTTATGAAGAAAAGCCTTCGAACTGGTTTTTGTTCTTATGTTTTCTCTTGCTAACTACCTGTATAATTGTGGAACTAGGTCTTTAGTGATATCTTTCTTAAATGGAAAAACATTATTCCTTCTTTCCAGCTTCAATTGAAATTGAATTTTAAGCTATATTTTCTCCTCCAATTATATAGCCTGTGTCAACTTTAAGTATCAGTTACCATTTAAATTTTTTCTCTTATGTAGAAATATTGTTACACATTATCCTTAAGTGATGCCCATGTTCACACTTATTGGATCTTTTTTTTATTCTAAACCAGAGCCAGAGGATGATGATGTGATAAGACATATTATTAGGCTAAGAGAAAAGTTGGGATGGCAAACAATATTACCACAGTATAATTTGAAATACAAAACTCCCCAAACTACAGTTCAGAAGATTGTTTTAAAGGTATTATTCCATTTTATTCAGTTGTATACTATAAAAATTAATATTTGAAACTGTCTTAAACTTTATTTCATTCATTTCAGATATTACATCAAAATCCGATGTTATTACATTATTACATTAATATCAAATTATAGTCTTGTTTTATGAGAAATGCTTATAAAAAGTCTTTGACCTCATTTCATTTCACTTATTTAAGGAATGGAGAACAGATAAGACATCTGCCTGAAATTTGAAACTACTCTTATGTTCATGCTTATCAATTATTTGTGATTTAAAAAGAAAGCCTAATGTACTTCTGTGACATTCTGTCCTTCTCATTCCCTGGTACTTGACTCTCTATCTCATCATCTCTGCATTTCCTTATCCTTCCCATGTTCTCCTTACCCATTACCTTCTTCAGAGAAAGTTTATCTCACCCAAAGTCACATGACCAGGGGCAAGACCCTGTGGTAAGAACGCCGGTCTGCCTCCTGCGACCTCATTTATTGCAGGTGATCTAAGATTGAACAGGACCATCTCTTCCTACTTGTCGGTCAGGGATCCTCAAAGTGCAGTTCCCAGGCAAGGAGCAGCAGCATCGTGTGGAAGTTATTAGAAGACACATTTTTATCTCCAGACCTGAACCAGAAACCCTGGGGGTGGAGCCCAGCAATCTGTGTTTTATTAAGCCCTCAAAGTGATTCCTGTGCATAGTTGAGAAGAACTGTTCTAGACCAGGGATCAGCAAACTTTAAGTTTTACAGGCTCTATGATCGCTGTCGCAGTCCCTCACCTCTGTCATTGCAGTTCCAAAGCAGCAATAGACAACACATAGCAAATGGGGGTGGCTGTGTTCCAGCCAACTGTATTTACACAGATAGGCACCTGGTCCTGGCCAGAGTTTGCTGGTCCTTGCTCTGTCACCGTGAGGATAGGTGGGTTTTAGGTTATAGTTCAGAGGCCGCATTAAAGTAAGGGAAAGTGCATGCATAATGGAGTCAGATCCACCCAGTTTTGAATCTCTATGGATATTATGTTTACTGCGTTATTTTGGGCAAGTTCCTAACCTCTCTTAGCTTTAGTGTCTTTGACCATGAAATGGAGCTAGTAGTGCTTAGAGAGCTGTGAAAATTAAATGAGATTATGCATGTGGCATGGTGCCTGGCAGATAGTGGGCATGGTAGTTAAAAAAGGGGACTATAGCCGTACATGAGCTTAATATCCTTGGACTGTCTAATAAGGTATATTTCATTTGTGGAGAAAGATTTGAGAATACTTCTGTTTAATTAAGAAGAATACTTCTTTTTAATTAAAAAGAATAATTTAATTGGAAAATATATCCTGTGATTGTTTGCTCATATTTTTATGCTTCTATAATTGGATTATTAATTATATATACGAGTATGACCCATTTAGAATATTGTACCTACATTAAGTTTCCAGTAACCTCAGCTTTTTGGAAATAGTTTAGAACAAAAAATGCCTCAAGTAGCCAGTAACTATAACAAAGCCTATGCACTATACAAGTCATCACTCAGAGCTTATTTAATTCATGTGATTTGCAATTTTTAAACTTATTTTTTCAAGATTTCTAGGTACACACTATAGCAGAAGTCAAAATAAGAAAGTGACACAGCTGAGACAATTGAGAAGAAACAATATTATCTTCAAAGAAGACTTTTTTTAAGAAAAAAGTAAAACTGGATCCAAAATTTTAAATTAGTGATTAGAAACTATTTAGTTACTTCAACAGCTCCTGAAGGCATCACTGAATTATAATTTAGAATACGTGTTCTTTTATAATAAAACTTAATTATCCAGAAAAGACTAAATTAAACTTTCTTATAGTTTTTCATCAATAAAAGTTAAATGTTTCAGAGCTAAATGAAATAAATTTCACTTAAAATTTTTCTTAATGTAGAATGTCTGATTTTTCAATAATGCCAGGTAAATAAGGAAGAGACATTAAGTATACTGCAGTAGCTCAGAACATGGGGTTAGAATCAGACTTGTATTAAATCCCTACTCTACCTGACTTTGTGACTTTTCTCAAATTACCTGACTTTTCAAAATACTAATCTTTGCATCTGAGATTAAAAAAGTCAAACTTTAACCTCTTAAGTTTAAGACATTAAATTTAAAATAGTCTGTGGTTGTAAATATACTTATTAAATATTTATTACTTAAATAATAGCTATTGTTATTATACTAGACCAACATCATTATCAAAATAAATGATAAATTTAATATGCTCAAAAGGTTTCTGGTGTTTCCAGACAAATTTACAGAAAGTACAGTATATAATATAAAAGGTATGTCGTCAAGTTCTTTGGGTTAAGCATGCATTAGTAAGCATGTAGATCAGTTAGCAAGTAGATCAATTTTCATAAATGTTTTATCACCATGTTATGTATAAGAATGAAAATTGTATTAAGTCTTAAGATTGATCTTGCTGAATTTTGATTAGACACAATTTGATGTTAGCTTTCCTCAATGATATTATTTTTAATCTATATTAATGTTGCTTCAATTTACTGAGTGATTTGTTCAGTCATTTTACTACTTAATTTGGTCAAGTTAATTTAAAATTTTTTTAACTCCAGGAACCTTTGAAAGATGATGGGGAATTTGTATATTGCCTTCCTCGGAAAAATCCTAAAGTCCTTTATAATCCATATGATCTTCAGGTGGTCTCTGCCCACAGAGCTAGACATTGCAAAGTATTTTGGATTATTACTGCTTCGTTTGTCTCAAAGGTAATAAAGAGTGAATGTTTTTAGTTTTCAGAATCATAAGGGAAAAATATTACCCAATGTAAAATTTAATTGGGTAAATTTATCTTTGTGAGTTTCCGACAATCCTTGTCATCTGAAGAACAGTTTATGTTTAAGAACGTCCTTGGGAGAAAGTTATTAAATAGTGACAATTTTTTTTTTGTAGAGACAACTGTGAAGATTCAATTTTAAGAATTTTTTTTACCTCTTGAATACTTATTTTTACTCTAATTTTTTAAAGAAAGAACTAGAAAACAGACATTTGCTGACATAACAGGAATTGTAACGATAACAGAAAAGAGTATTTTCTCAGATTGTCAGAAACTTCATTGACAGTGTGGAACTCCCCCTATTGTACTTGTACATAGCACTTTGATACTTGTCATGTTGTAATTATACAATTACTTGTCTTGATCATTGGTTTCATGTCTCTCTGCCTTCCTCTGCCCTCCCAACTAAACTCTAAGTATGGGTGGGCAGGACCACATCTGAATCAAGTAGCCGTGTGTGTGCAGATATGGAAGTACTGCTAATGTCTTTATCAACTGAAAGTGGAAGAAACAACTTCTATATAAACAAAAATATGCACATAAATACATATGTGCTGATATAGGCATACTTTTGTTTATGGAAGAAATTTAGGAAAATGTTAACATTCGGATGGGGGAGAGAAAATTCCCTGATGAAGGGCCCGTGGTTTTTGAATGTCAAAATGAGGTACCTGGCTCATGGGTACCATGACTAGCCCTTTTGGAACTACTACGTCCCTGTAGTTCAAGTTCATAAATATTGTTTTTTGTTTAGAAAATGTGAAAATTATGGAACCCAAAGAATGAATAGCTAGCTATTTGTGAAAAGTATTTCAGGGTGAAGAAGTTTCTCTTTTCCTGTCTATTGGAGGACAAGAAATAGCATTAGCAAATGGCAAGTATAGAAGCGGTGTGTGAAGGGAAATCAAATTTGGGTGTAGATGAGGTGCTGGAGGTCAGATATAGAAAAAGCTTAAAAGGCAAGTAATTATGAGCCAAATACACGCTTTCTTAATTTTTGAAAATAGCACAGTTTTTTAAAGAGAGAAAGTCACGCTTTTGTGCTTTATATATGCAGGTTACCAAAATAGATGGTGAAGAAGAAATAGAATACATACCTACCTTGGAATGGCTATTAGAAAGAAGATGTTACTATTCATTACAGGAATTCAAAATATTTTCTAATTTTCGGTGAGATGAATGAAACTGAAACCAATTATTTGTGGTATGATCCTTTTGAAATAGCAGTTAGCTGTGTGACACCTAGGTTCCACTAATGCCATATTTATGGGGAATTATAGAGGAAAGGGGGTAGCCCATAAACGATAGAGAAAGCTTACCCACTTAAGTATTACAATTCTTAATTTTAATCTTTTTAGGTAAATATTGTAAGAAAAAGATACTTTAAAGTAGAGCAAATTTAAATTATAATGACGTGAATTTACTTTTTGTTTTTCATGCATTTATTCATTAAATAAATATTTATTTAGAGTCTGCTACGAACCAGGCATTATTCTAGATGAAATTGAACAAACCAAACATTTATCCTGTTCCCAAAGAGGTTAGATTATAGTGGACAAGAGAAAATAAAAAAAACCCTACATATATATGCAATATATCAAATGAAGATGAAATGTTATAAAGGAAAATAAAACAATTAGGGAGCTTGGGCAGCTTGTTGATTCAAGGTCATTGTTTAAAAATTTGTCTAGTTCTAAGTTTACATTACATTACATTGTATTATATCACATCACATCACGTCAGGATTCCTGAGACTTTCATCCTTCACAAAGAAGTCCCAGACTGTTGCTATTTTCGTGTTTGTATCTAGTTTTATAATTTTTTTTTCCCTCTCTAATGTCTGTCTTTTCTTGTGATCTGCTGCTATCTGCTGGGGACTAGGAAAAGAGAAATAATACTTTAAATTGTTACATTTACTATTGTAAATCACTGAAATAACTAAGAATCTGAGGAAGTTTTCCATAGGACAAGTGAATGGATTTTGTGGCAGAGAAATTACGCTTACTAAGCCAATACTTACTGTGTACCTGTTCTGTTCCACTGTTGTGAGCCCTGGAGAAACAATGTAAAAAATATAAAAGGTGTCTGTACTTATACAACTTATATTCTATGAAGGGAGATAGATAATAAGTAAATAAGATAATTTCAGATAGTGATAAAGGCCAGAAAGAGACTAAAACAGAAAGAAAATGGTGTGTGTGTGTGTTGCTACTTCAGGTAGGATGGGCAGAGATGACGTATTTAGGCAGATACCTAAAACATGAAAAGGACACATTTATGTGGGGTCTTGAGAGAGAATAGTTCCAAACAGGGAATATAGCAAGTTGAAGAGTTTTGTGGCAGGAACAAGTTTGGTGTGTATTCAAAGGTAGAAATGGTGTACTGAAGAACTGAAGAGGTTGATGGGAAATGAAGCTGGTTGTTGCCAAGGAACCGAAGTCAAATGCAGAACTGTTAGTCTAGAACTGTTAGAACAGTTCTGAGAAGTTTCTTTTGCAGAATATATATGCTATTTGCTTCCCTATAAATTAGGCACCAGTAGGAAGCTAGATGTTTTTGATTCTGGATTATCAGTTTATGACATTATCCAAAGTATTATTTTCTATATTTAATGAAACTGTCAATGTTGGACTTTGCACTGTTATCCTTATAAGAAATCCTCAGGGTCAATTCTGCTCTAAATAATTTTCATTGAATAAACTTTTGAAACCTAATTGCAACTAGGACAAGAATCATCTTTTTATATGACATCTGGCATCAGTAAGTCCACAGTCAAAATGACTCATTTTCTTTATTCATGTTAAGAAAAATGTAAGTTAAATTTTAGCTGGGTTAAAACTTGTAGTTTTATTTGATTTTTAAATTTTAAATATTTTTTGTAAAGTTTTTTTAATCACTAATATTATAACAAGTAACATTTCAAGTATAAAAATAAGATAAATATGAAGTGTTAATGACATAAGCTGGTGATGCCATGTATCTAATGCAGGGGTGACTTGAGCGTTGTCATTAGCTTTTTACCTCATGAGACTTTCTGGAGTATTCATTTCTGTGGCCTGGTGCAGACACTCGTTACACCATCATTGGTTCCTTTTGGGATCATGTAGGATTCCAGGGATCTTCTGGAATCCTGAGGAACCATCACTCTATGGGTCTGAATTAAAGTGAGATAGGAACTTGTTCAGAAGGCCTCTTTGGAGCCTGATTGAAGGTCAAGTTACTAGATTTATCAGAGACATTTCTGACTTCTAAGGCCTCAGGTGTGCCTGGTTGAATGACATCATGGGATTCTTTTGAACTGCTTGGGTGGCTCCAGGCCTCCTTCAGTCTTCTTTGATTCAGAATCAGCCAGTGATATCACTCAGATTGGCTGATGAGCTGGCTTCTTGGGCACTCTATTGCTACCATCGTTTCTTCCTCACTGGCTCTTAATGGCTACATAAGGAATCTCACTGGCAAACAAGTATCACCACACATCTTAGTGTTTATTTAAGAGTGATTGTTTTCATCAGGATGGAAATGCTACTGAGAGAGAGATTGTGAGATGGCGCTAGACTAGTCCCACAACTGCATAAAATCGGTGGCCATACTCAGAGAAGTCGAGGGAGATTTGCAGAAACAGTTCACATGTCTGTTTCATGTGTGAAAGCTAAAGGTAATGAATAATCACCAGGGGCAACTTTCCAATTGCTTCTCATGTAAATTCTTTGAGTTTTTAAAATTACAAATGCATCTTTTTAAAAAACATAGGTATTAAATAATATCAAAATGACATTAATTTTTTACTTTTACACAATGACTTCTGATCAATGTACTGTTCGTTACTGAAAACTGAATCTTGACTTTTCTTGAAATACGAGTCTCTTTTAAAAATAGTGAGCCAATAAATGTATAAAGGAAAAGAATTATTTTTATAGTTTTTGTATTTATTGGAATGTTACAACTAAATTGATTGTGCATCTATGAGAATTTTAATGACTTTTACTTACATTTACATTTTGCCCTATATTCTGTTGATCATTTGGGAGAAAAGTGATATGGTGTAATATTTACTTTAGATAAGTCAAGATGAGTGAAATATGTTCTAGAGGATTTTCTAGTATTACTAAGCCTTTACTAAATTTATTTCATATAATTACATGATTTATGAATATAGAGTAAGAAGTATTTTTCTTTTCAGAATGTGTAAAGCATTTGTTACTTGGAAATTGAATGTTAAAAGAAGTAAGACAGAGAAAAGCAAGTAAGTCTTGATATGCTATATATTTACAAAAATTTCAAGAGAAAGCATTACTTTATGTAGTATGGAAGCAGATATAAATTAATTTTCTCTCAATGATTCGAAAGTCACATTCCATAACCTTTACGATTAAATTTAGTCCATCTAATTTTTAAGGACTATTAATATTTTATATATATTAAACATAATGTTATATAACATATATATATATATATATATATATATATAATAAACACTTATTATATGTCCCAGGATACCATTCTGTAGTGTGAAGAAATCTTAGAACTGTGAAGAACCTATGATGAGTTCCCTTGGTCACTTGATCTAACTTTTTCCTTCTAAAAAGGGGAATGATTAAGTATTATAATCCAAGACAGTTGACAGTTAAATCTATTTTGTAGGATATCCAGCAGTCAAGTTTTGTTATTATTGTTATTGAACTTGAGATAATTGTGATTGAAATGCAGTTGTAAGAAATGATACAAAGAGATCCCATGTCCTTTTTACCCAGTTCCCCCCAGTGGTAACATCTCGCTACCTGTAGTACAATATGACAGCAGCCAGGGCAGTGACATCGATAGAATCAAGATACAGACCGTTTCTATCAGCACAGGATCCCTCTGTTTCCCTTTCTTAGCTGTACCCACTTCCCTTTTACCCCCACCCTCTCCTTAACCCATGGCAAGAACTAACCAGTTCTCTATTTCTATAATTTGTTGTGTAAATGTTAACGTACAGTATGTAACCTTTGGCATTGATTCTTTTCACTTAGCATAACTCTCTGGGGTTGTTTTATGTATCAGTTGTTCTTTTTTATTGCTGAGTGGTAGTCCATGATGTGAATGTACCACAATTTAACCACTTACCTGTTGAAGTACACCTGGGTGTTTTCCAGTTTGTTTATTACAGATAAAGCTGCTATAAACATTCATATACAGGTT